CGGAACTTCCGGACATGTTTATGTAATGAGTTTGGCCGATAAAATGTTGAAATGGAATTATCTGGGTTTGTTTCATGTTTTGTTGCGAGAAATTCAATGACAGTGATGAATAAATGTGATTGATGGCTGTGTTCGAAAGCGGGATTGTTATTGTTTTTGTTGTCCATGGTGCAATAGAAGAAAATTGCTTGAAACGTATTGGTGACCATAGAACGGATTAAAATTTTTTCTTTTTAATTAATCAAAAGAAATTCCTTTGACAAGGAGATTTTTCACATTTGCAATTATACTCGTTTAGTTTTAAAATCATTTGGCATATCTCTTTACAATCATATAATTTAAATTGGAATCGAAAAAAATACTTGTTTAAAAGCATGAAAATGTAGAAAAAATTATGCGTCGCAAAATTTGGTGTCAAAAAAGGAAAAAAAGGAAAACAGTTTGTGTTTTCTTTTTTCAGCAGTAAAAGTCAAACAAACATTGATTTTGTCAACTCAGAATTCAGGAAAAATCGAGCATGAAGATTAGCGAATAATGTTTGCTTATTAAACTTTTTTTATATTATTTGGTTAAAAATATAGGTCCTTTTTATTTCTTTCCTTTCATCCATCTAAATTTTTGCGATGCAGTCTTGATTATCTATACCAGGTATATAAGGATATCAGAAAGGCCAATAAATAATGATTAACTGTGCCTTCCCAAGTTGTCTCTTGGGTTACGTAATAAAGCGATATAGCTAAGCTGAAATTGGGAGTAAAATGGAACTAGATGTATTGGATCATTTAATCTCAAATGCATCAAAAGAAGTGGGCATCGACGTTTGAAGCACTGAGTGATACCAAAGTCGAAAAATATTAAAACAGAGTTTAAAAATAAAATTATCGAATGAGAATTGAATTCTGAGATGCAATAGGAATCGGTCAATGAAAGTAAAATTAGCTACAAAGTATTTTGCGCGAAGCGTGTAAGCTTTCGTGTAACCTGATAATGGTAATGGTTTAGCAGCTTTTCGGATATTTTAAAAGAAGTGAAGGAAATTTAGTTCATGTACTTTTTGGAGTACTCCTGAGGAGAAAGAAATTTCAGCAGTTCTCCGATAAACTTCTGCTGCCTCCAGTGCGCCCATGTGATGGAGATAAAAAGTGTCTTATTATTGATTTGGATGAAACATTGGTGCATTCTTCATTCAAGGTGAATTTTAGCATATTATAATTCATTTTTGGGTCTGATGCAAAATCATAAGCTGATTAATATCTCTCTCTGTGTTGCTCAGTGAATTTAGCTTTAATTTTTTGTGGAAATTCAAAACTTTAAGGGTAAAACTGTGACTACGAAATTCGTTTTAGGCGTGTTCAGAATGAAAACTTTAAAATTAACCTTCTATTTTCCTGTTCGATTTCATGTGAATTGTTGAATTCATCGATCGTCAGCACGGTCGATAAATTAATCTTTTTGAAAAGAATGAATGATTTTTACATTTTTTTTGAACCATGTGTTTTTAACTAAATATGTTTCAGCCGGTGAGGAATCCGGACTTTATAATACCGGTTGAAATCGATAACGTTATTCATCAGGTTTATGTGTTGAAACGGCCGTATGTGGATGAGTTTCTGGAAAGGATAGGTGACAAGTTTGAGTGTGTGTTATTCACAGCCAGCCTTGCCAAAGTATATCTTTCTTAAAAATTGCGATTTGTAGAGGGAAACGTCCAACATCATAAAAATCTATTAAATGTTGGAAGCCATATAAAGAATGTTCTTGAAAATAAAGTGGGAAGAAATAAAAATACATGATGTTGCACATTTTCAATATAGACAATGAGAATGATTACTGCATGCCTATCTTCTAACTGATATGTGTAAATTGGTCAGATACTTGATAATATAAGTGTTTTTTTTATAAGTATTAACTTTGAATTAATATAGGAGACTGATTTTTACAAATTTTTTGTGGAAGAATGATTCACACTACTTTTCTGTTTCAATGATGACTATTTTCTCTTTACTATTGTGGATAACAAACAAAACATGAACAAGCGGATAAATTCACTCATCAGGCCAGGATCAACACTATTAATGACTGTTTGTTAATGTAATGAAGATGAATAAATTGTTCTTTAAATAATATTTCAAAACTATGAATTTCAGTACGCCGATCCAGTTGCTGATTTCTTAGATAAACGGGGTGTGTTTCGCGCACGATTATTTCGAGAATCTTGCGTTTTTCATAAGGGTAATTATGTCAAGGTTCGCTTTAATTGTTTTTATTCGGTGATTATTTTTCGGCTATATTTTTTTCCGCGCTTGTTTAATATCTATGTTATTTTACATTCCAGAGATGTTTATAGAGCTTAGAGTTGCCGAGCTGCATCGTATCATAAATCTGTAAATAATCGCTCTCTTGTTTTGCAGATTTTCTTTAGACGAACATAACTTTTAGCACTGAGAATAATTGCAGTAGGATTGGATTTTTCTGTTTACCATTTCATTTGTTTTTTAATCTTCAGGATTTGACAAGACTTGGACGCGATTTAAAGAAAGTGATCATTGTGGATAATTCACCAGCTAGTTACGCTTTTCACCCTGATAATGCAGTATGTTTCCTCGTTAATCCTTTTCACCATCTCTGATGATGGGAAAACGTTCCCATTTTTTGGCATCGTGGTCTTCCTCTATCATTAGGAAAATACATTCAATCGTAGGAAATTTAGTGAATAATGATAAGTCCTGAGTTATAAAAAACTTCGCCTTTCATTCTACAGCGGCATATGTTGCAAGATACGAAAAAATTTTTTTTTTTTGAATTGATGAATAGAAAGATTATTGTAATAGTTATTACTTCCAAGGTCGTCCCTTGAAAACAACAATATATTTTATTCCAGATTCCGGTACAAACATGGTTCGATGATGCGAACGATGTCGAATTGTTAGATATAATCCCAGTTTTGGAACAACTTGCTGAAGTGGATAGTATTTATACGGTATTGAGAAACAGTAACGATGATATGCGGCGAAGTATTTTGTCGGAACAAATTGAAACCAATAGGTCATCTTGAAATGTTCTACTTACTGGTATTTGTTTGTTAATGCTGTCAAAGCAAATATGATTAATGTGTATCTGCTTTTGAAGGCATAGATTAAGGATGAAGGTATAAGAAATTTCGATTCCAGATTTATTTTACTTGGAGAAAGGTAACTTAGGAGAAATTGACCTGTCATGGCGGTGTTGTACATGCATTCCTATAGTAATTGTGGCCTTTTTACTAAACTGAATTTTGAGGTTTCATCTTCTGACGATGATTAATAATTATTCATTTTACTACATCTTTATTGTTATTTTGTTTCTTTTTTATCACGAAATATTTAGTCAGAATGTGATCTAATTTTCCAGATTGCCTTAACTGTACACACTTATTCATTGTTTTTTGTTGTTTCCGTTGTTCCCCTAATTTCTGGGCTAATATTGGTTATTGTTCTCTTTCTCTTTTCATACTTGTATTTTCTCTTTCTAGTTGATATTGATTATCAACTTTTTGGTAGAACTTTTGTCTTCTGTGTCATTTACTTTTCTTGGGTCTTTTTTAGGAAATATCTTTATCAGATTCATCTTCAAAATGAAGGTTTAAATTAACGGTATGTTAAAGTAAAGAATGGTCGACTATTATTTTCACTACCCTTTCTTGGTTTAATCTGTGCCATCACAGTGAAGACGAAGATGTAATTTCATGCTGTTATATCCACTGATAGAAAAAGAAAAAGTACAGAAAGTATTTGATCCTTTTTCTGTATTGTATCGCGCGTTATTGCAAGTGGTGTTTACATATTGATAGTTCTGTGGCGCGAAATTTCCTTTTATTTCTTCTCCAATCCATATCATCTCTTTTGCCGTGCCTTGTTATTCTGCTTAGTTTTGCGTTTAACTGGTTTGAAAATTCAATTTTTTCACTTGCTCATTTTTGCATAAGTTTTTGCTTCAAACTGCAACCAAAGGAACGATTTTATTGCTGAGAAAGATAATTTCGATCTGAATTTGAAATTCTGTGCATTGATTGTATTTGGGACTTGAACTAGTTGTTTAATGCATTGGTGGTTATTTAATCGCTTTATTTCTCAAAAATTTCATTTTCAGTTGTTAATTTAAATAGGTCATCCTATCATTCCAGTGAATTCTTCATGCTCTTATGGTGCATAGCGAAAAAAAAAAAGCTTATATGCTTAATTCAGCCGAGTTCTGGAGAATATTCAGAAGAATGTGTGGATGCAGACGAAGTGTGGAAAAGTTTATCAAGTGTAGTTATTGAAATGTATACAACCGAGGCGTGCCTTTTGAAATGTTACTTTCATTTTCATTAATTAACATTGTAGAGTTTTTTTTGAAATGTTTGTCTAAAACGATGAAGATTAAAATGTAATGAAACGTGTCGCTTGCGGTTGGCTTTGCACATGTTTTTCAATTTCTTAGCTACGACATTTGCCATTTAACGTGTTTATATCTCTTAGGTAATAAGCATCGCAACATAAGCGGTTGATGATCACATAGTAAACAAGCACATACTTCAGTGTTGATAATCTCGCCAATAAGCGATAGTAGCGAACGAGTGCAAAACTGAGGAATGGAGTCTGAATTCGCGTCTCCGATAGGTGAGTCGGTGAGCAGAAGAGGCACACCATAACGTTATGTTGTGAACAGAGCTAAAATTTTTATTTTTTCGAGGTATTAGTGTTTTGTACTGTTTAATGAAGTGGAGTGATGCATGAGGGAAGAAGGCATACTTCGGATTTGGACGATGCATTTTCACAATCCAGATAATTTAGGACAATGGTTTATCTCGTTTTTATTCTGGTATGTCTGGTCTATAATTTTCATCGCCTGAACAACCAGAGATATTTTCGGCATATTAAATGGCATGAATGTTTGTTCGAAGGCCTTGGTAACAAATTGACGCAAAGTTCTTGAAATTTCTAGAGGAATATGTCTTCAAATTCCTTTTCATTTACAGGAAGAATTGGGAGTGTTTAATTTCTTTTGAAGTTTCTGACTTGTTTAATTTTGCGAAAAAGTTATTATTAGATCATGCATTAAGTTGGAGAGTCGTCGTATTACATCAATGGATTGCAAGTTGTTCTAAAGCTCTGCGTTGTTATGGTAAGTTGAATGGAAGACTGAAGAGTTTTTTCTACAGACAAAGGCGGGGCATCCCTTGAAATTATGTTCGTTGTAAATATCAGAATGATTTCTTGGTTTTTAAAAAACTTATTGGATGAGAGTTTCTCTTGCTCTCTATGGTAATCGAGTGAGGAATGTGAACGTCAGTCGCTAATTAACCCGAAATTGTAAATTGTAACAAATTTATAATTATTGATTCAAACTTTCCATCCTGTTTCACTTTACCGAACTGATCCAATTTTTCTTTAAACTGTAATACAACAAGGTGGATCAAAATCATTTTGACACTTTATCCACATCGTTGATCATTAAGGTTACATATGCCGATTTCAAAAAATTATTTTATATTGCTGCTTAGCAAAAAACTTTTTCAGCTGGCACATTGTGATCATTCATGATTAAGGTATCTAAAGAAGGCTTACAGATTGCAGCAATTAGCGTTTCTACTGATCATCTTTAAGCTTAAAAGCAGTTCTTTTTTTTAAATGATCAGAAATATCAAAGTAGTGATATTCATTTAAATTAATATTAACATGAAGTTCAATTTTTTTGTCATGGAAAAAAGTCACTGAGTATGAATCACGGGAAACCTGTGAACTATTTGAAAGGAGCAATTATGTCAATTAGTGCATTCATCTAGCCTGATTTTCAAGACATATATTATGAACAATTAGCAATCTCGGGAGAAACTGTTTATGACGAGCATTCTAATTTTGGAAAACCCATATATTTAAGGCCCCCATTTCGATGCATATGCATCTTACTCAACTCGCAATCCAGAAATTCCGGTTCTATTGGTCGATACCTCAATGAAGTTACTGTGCTTAATTGCAATTTTGCTCCAGCTTTATTTTTAAATGTCTTCCTGGAATGCAACAATATTTTTGACGAATTTAACATATTAGCCGTTTGCAAATTGATTAATATTCGAATCTGTGTATGTGATTCAAAAATCCTGGCATAGAGTTAAATAGTTCGAAAGCTTGAACTGCAAAATTCACTTAAAATTGTTATAGGCGCAAAATCTTCAAGAATGTCAGAACAATATTTTTCCCACATGCTTTAATGTTTTCAATCTTCTTACACATAAATTTCAAATCAGTATCTTTATTAGTAACATAGTTAATCAGTGACGTAGTTAATCAACTATGTTGCATTGAAAGATATATGGAAATAAATAGATTTCTGAATGTATAAGTTGGTTTTTTTTAAGTATTGATATGAACATAAAATTGTATAAAATTTGCAGCGAAATGACTTCTTATATCTCTATATCTCTAATCTAATGTAACATTGATGCTAGCATTTGTTTTTATCGTTTCTTTATTTCATCATTAATTTACCAATATTGTAGTTTGTGACATCAATGAGTCTTTCTAACAAATGCTTGGTGGACGTGCAGACTACAAATTTTACAACTAAATTAACAACTAAAGGCAACAACAAATAAAGATGTGTTTGATGTTAGGATTCAAGTTACTTGCATTCATAGTCTTCGTGGTAGAAAATGTCCCTGAGATTGATCATTACAATTACAATCCATACATACTAGTTTGATTCATTTACATCAACAAACTTTTACAATCACTTTAATATTGCACAATTTCATGTATTTCCTCTGAAATCAAATTCATCACATTTTAAGAATTAAAAAAAAATTGCAAATAACACATTCTTTCATATTCTTTTGACATACGGAAAAAGTCTATTGGAGGTGGAAAGGTTAAATTTTTTAAAATCTGAATAAACTTTGAACAATTATCCGAAAAAACAATAACAAAGTGCAAAAAATGTTGAAGACCAAATGAATAAATCAAGCACACCCACATATCATCGATTAGTTGCGCGTTAGCGACAGTAGGTAGTTAAATGACGCTATCCTCCCCACAAATGCATTCATTCAACAGAAATGCACGTCTTAGTGTTTAATTCGAAGTTCTAAAATTTGTTTAAATCAATTACAATTCTGATAATCCTGAAATTACAGAATCCAAAAAAAAGATGAAACTTGAAATTCTGAGTGCTACTGAGCTGAGCGTACAATCAATCTAGCTATATCTATCTGTTGCTAAGTTAATCGTTATCTGCTGAAACAATATTTTCCAATATAAGAAAATCAATTGAGTACTAAATGAAGCTGTTCTGTTGTCTCTCAAATAGATTTTCATACGTACCTTACACGTCATTATTAATGCAAAGACAAATTAGATAACGGATTAAATTAAAATGGAATGAATTTTCCTCAGGAAAAAAAAAATTATCATTATCAATATGGATGATGAAGGCATAAACGAAATGAATGCTGCAAAATTCTGCAATTGTTATAATTTTTAAATTTGCAAAATTTATAAGTTTTAAATTTGCAAATTTATAAGCCAAGGTAATTTATTATTTCGAAAGTCAGGCAATGTAGTTATGGGAGAGGCAAACCAGCCCCTTCTCATCAATTGTTAACTTTTTTTTCAAATCACATTCTTTGTACCGATTTTGTGGCTATAAAAATGTTCACTTTTGAAAACAGAATACTTTCACCGCAAAATTTCTTGACAATTTTTGACCTTATTATAATTTTTCTTTCAACGTGTTTTATTTTAACCTTTCATTGAATCAAAAATCTTACGTTTGAACCGAGCTTTATATTTCATCGCATTATATCAAAGAAGGAGAATAATGAGAAGACTGATGTATTCTTGAGGATAAGTGACAGTTGAAGTCAAACAAACTAACTACTGTGAATATTTATAAACATTGAATTAAACACGAGTATCCTGATGATTTGAAGTTTTTATGAATTAATATCATGAATTTTTGGAACCGCTGTTGCATTTGAACAATTTCGAACAATATAGGGAACATTTGAAGATGTCGATTGTGACCATAGTTAGATATATTTACATTTCAGAGAATAGTATGATTTCTAGAAGAATCGCGGTAGGAATCCTACTACTGATTACAATAAATATCTTAGCAATAGCACTGGTGGATGGATCCCCTTCAGGATACGCTCGACCTTCAGACGTAAAAGGTAATGGCGATGGCGCACGAATGTATGCCACAGGACCTAGTGGCGGAGGACCTAGCCCAAGGAATGGAGAAGGATATGGTACCAAAAATGGGAAAGATGGAGGCAGCGGATATTACAAGAAAGGAGGTAAGCGACCCATGCTGTAATTTACCTAATGAAATTTTAAAATTCGGACTAATTTCTACAGTCTCCTGGAAATATTGCATGGATGGACTTCAGTATTTCTGATCATTGATTTCTAATTGTTATCTTTTTCTTGTTTTAAAAGATTTTAATTTGACAATATGTTAAGTACTTCTTTTTAGCTAAACCTCCCCATCCATCTTCTCAGCAACCAAGCGCGAAATATGAAGCCGATGGTGATGGAAGACGTCCGTCATATGGACGTCCGGAATATAGATAAGAGCAATGTCATCTTTCGATTTAAATTTAAGTATCTACTTCAGTCATAGCGCCCCTCAATTTTTACACTCCTGTGAAGCATGTGAATTATTCCAATAAATAATTTCATTTCCACAATGTTTCATGAAATCCTCTCCAGAACAATTACGTTTCTCTGTAATTCTCATTACTTTGAGAAAAATAATTCTATTATAACAAAACAATGTACAACAAGATACACATTGAACAAAAATTGTTTGCAGTTAGCACTTACTGAAAAGAAAAAATTAGTTAGTTTGCCAAGCTGATATATTATTCAAAAGATGTTTTTCCTTTGAGATGCTTTTCATCCTAATGAAAAATATACTCCTTAGTGATTAGATATGTCTCTAGTCTCGAAAATCAGACAGTTATTACACACTACGGCACTCTTGCTAATATAACATTAAAAAAATGCCTTTTCTTGCTAAATTCAACTTAACAATTCAAAAACTTATTAAAATTCAATCCAGACGCTAGAAATATGAATTCCTAACTGGTAAACGATTTGGTATTTAAAAATACATATGTCACAAAATGCACACAGTACACAGGGAAACTTAGTTACTTCACAAAACAACTGGTAATGACGGATCGCGCGGAATCAGACCCAAAGACTGCAGAACGACCTGACATGCTTGAGCCTTCCCAATCTTTTTACTGGTTGATGGAATAGATGGTTGATATTCAACACCATTAACAACAGCCTGAATATGAGTATTGATAATACTTATTAAAAAGGAAATGAATGTATCTAAATCACCTACAATTTGACCCTTATTGGGCTCTTATTTCAATAATATCGCTGATGTATTTGAGCTTTTGTTAATATCTAACATACCTTCCATAGAAATCTACGATTATTTGACGGCCCACTTTCCAAACATGTGAACTGTGGAGCATGCCATCGTTTTTTTGAGCAAAGTTCCATAAGAATAGATACCGGATGTTTCCCTGAAATAAATGAATATTTTATCTTATCATCCTCTTAAACTGTAACCTACAGAATCTAGATGCAAAAAGTTTTATTTTATATAAAAATTCATACTGATTAATATCAGAAAATTATATAGGTATATGCAGAAATTCAAAAGATTAAAAGCAAAAATCATGCCAGAGAAGTTTTTTCCAGAACTCGGACGTAACTTCTTCGATTCTGGAAGTTCTTCTGTTGCCACCAAACCTAAAATATACTGATAGCGATTAATCAAACTGATAAGAACATTCATTTATAAAACTACAAATATGCAACGTTGAAAGCATCATTTGAAAGTTCAGCATCTCAGATGTTGTATACATCTTTTATTTTTCAAAAAACTTTTGCGATGATCGTGAGTTTCATTAGCTTAATTACCCAATTTTTACACAGGCAGAATCTCACAGAGAATACACTTTGTATGCCATCTTTATAATCCAGGGAAATTGAGCTTCTATATTGCATAAAAAAAGTAATATCATTCACAAACCTTTCCTGTCCGATTTGATATCCAAAACCAGAGGCTCAAGAGGACCATCTCTCCCTTTTCCAAGACCTTCACCAGGTGTCCAACCCATCTTCTGCATTAATTTTAAACCTACACCACTGTTCACAGCACTCGTCTGCTTCAAAAAATCCTAAAATGCAAAAACTTTAAGTAAAACGCATGAAGATTTAAAAAATAAAATTTTAAAAAGGAGGAAAGAAAAAACTAAAAAAGCCGTACACAAACTTACGCCAGCGACCACATGATCATTAGGTCAAAAGGGTCAAAACATCAGCTACAGTGGAAATAAATCCTTTCCCATCATAGTTACTGCTCAGCAACACCTAAATAATTTCTGTCCATGATCAATGACACGAGTTGCAAGATATATATAATCAGCGCATGATTACCAATATGGCATAGGGGTAATTTAGTGGAATATTATGTCAATAAGTAATTTTTATTTCAGGAAAGCAAAAATTCATAGTTATGATGGTATAACATATTCAAACTGTATATAAAAGACAATACCGCTCATTTCATTTTTTGTTAATTCGCCCATCAGTGAGGGGTGACTAGATCGATAAGCGCCATGCACAATTATTCTTACCCAGAATATTTCTGACATCTTTTTTTTCTCGTAAATATATATATATATAATACGACTCAAAAACCTAGAACTTCTAGTATAAGGGGTAAACCTGTTACCACATGCGCAAAAAAATGCAACTCGTGTCATTAAACCATTAACAATCTCTTTTTTGCAGCCAAATAATTGTTCGTCCAATTTCAGCCAATTTTCTTCACAGCAACTAAGCAAAACCACCATATGTGAAGCACACCGGTCGAATACCGACCAAACATGAAGTCCATCACGGTGCATCCACTGGGAACCATTTCAAATACTGATAATCTAACAAGTAATATAAGATTTTCAGTTTTTCAATTATTGACGCCAAGAATGCCAGCCAATAAAATACTCAGTGATGCAAACAGGCTTCATTCGCATATAATGAACTCGAAAAAAGCGTAAAACTGCAACAAAAAAGCAATAGATCTGACTGACCGGGCACTGCTATCTTCGTTCACTGCATTACTGGTTGGTATATACAATTAACCGATACATTTCAGAAATTGAAAGCAGCAAAAAATAAAAATGAAAGAGCTGAGGTTACAATCCAACTTTGATAAGGTTTCTAGAAGAATTTGTCACGTTTAGTTCAGAGTCACTTAAACGCGTGAATTTACTGCAGAAAAAGATTCAGACTGTTTGTTGTGAAATAAAGCAGAAGTTCAATAAGCCTGAAATCTGTTATTTCCATTGAAGAATTTGTACCATCCAAGATGTGTTTCATACTCTCTAACATCGAAGCCTCTCGCAATTTTATCAGAAACATTAACTGGGATTTATCTTTAGCGATGGCAAACATGTGAGCATAGGAAACGTAATGAATTGAAAGGGCATCGAATATTATCAACTGAAAAAGATCTAATCAGCAAGTATTATTCGTTACGTAGCATGTTGACCGTATTATTATTCTACGACACCAGCAGCATCACCTCAGAGACGCGAGAGAGTTGCTTAAAATATTGGTTCCAGTAATAACTCCTAGGTTAAAAGTTTTCTTATTAATTTCCATATCAGAAGATTTACGTAACACAAAGAAATGTGAAATGAAACATTCAAACCATATCATTCTTCATTGTAAAATCGCTGACACTGCCGGTGATGTAATAATGAACGAAATAATGAAATTTTGAACAAGAAAATATATTACGCATTAAAAGTTCATTCCCTGTTAAACTGAATGCTGGTCAGATACAATAAAAATGTGGTACTTCTTTGGTGCAATGCTACAGTCATATGATTCAAAAACTGATTTGTTTTCTTGTCTACATTATCTTTATTAAACATAAAAAAATGCTTGATAACTGCAGCAGTTCTTACAGGTCCTCACCACAGCAGTAATGCTTCCATTCATGAAATCTATGGTTCACACCAAAAATAAACAGTTGTGGGATATATGGCCCATTAACACACCATCGGATTTTCCACTGGTATCTGCTTCGGGAGGAAAATACTGCTCGGAGCGCAAAAACAGAAAGCACACTTAGCATTATAAAGATAATCTGGCATTTTCCTCAACCTTGCCGTATAGACCCGAATGACTTCTAAAAGTCTTTGTGACAAAACGTTTACGATCTTTTAGCAATGCATTTTTCAAAATTAGATTCCATAGTTCAAACCGGCCAAAGTCTCACAAATAAAAACCTTCAGCCATGAAATATGGCGAGTTTTTCATGTAAATCTTTTAGGGCAATCCAACAAACCTTTTTTGCCCAAACACTGAAGCGCGGATCATCCAGGCCAAGCTGATCAGTCTTCAATATATTCACGCCAGTGGATCCAGTACATTTTGCTGGCAAATTCTTTTTACTCTCAGCCCAAGCTCTTATCTGTAAAGTGGATTCACCATTTTTCTAAAGCACGAATCAAAAAACTTCTGGTAGAACACACAGATTTTATCTGGCAGATGTTCATGAAACCCAATCAGAAATTCGGATTAAGAATCTAGAGGTCGACCCACTTTTTTATGCACAATTTTCTTCCCCATTGTGTTTTTAAATTATCTACAAAAATTATTTAACTACGGTACATGAAATTTCTGATCACCATCCCTTTCTCAAATCGCATTTAATTTTCTCCTTCCAAAAATTCAGGAGAAAAAAAGACAGTACTTTAATGAGAACTGTAGCTGGAAGCTAACGACTCCTGATGGATCTTAATTTTGTCCATTTATACTGAAGCAGAAAAGTCGTAACAATCTTGTCTACTGTAGACGGAAAAACAGCTCATTAGACGAGGTGAACATGGATTGCATGACAGAATAACAGTGTTGCGTATTACTTGATCCCGCTAGTGAGAACACATTAAGCGTTCCTGATTAGTTCAATTCTACGCTGTTTTTATTATATCCACTGTGAAATACCTTAAAATCACAGAAAGATCGAAAGGTTTGGAAGGTGGATTCGATTTTATGCCGCCGTAATAATGAGCGACAATTGTAGAAATAACCAAAATCAGCTTCAACAACAAATTTCAAGGAATCTCTTATAGAGGAACTAAACCATCCAGCGATTCCTCCTCCATCACTCCACCCAAACAAACACATTACACTATACTTTATCCTTACTTATCGCTACACTCTCACCACAACCGTTATTATCTGGATAATAGAAAAAGTTGCCTGATCATCAGCTTCTTTCAACAGGTGTCTTGCTTCATAATCATTCGGATCTTTCGCTAACAGCTTACTTGCTTTTATTCGTTTTGCCATCACCCTGCCAACATTTGCCGGCTAAAACAAAAGAATTTAAATCTGTACCCACAGATACGAGTGGTGCTTCAGCAGTGAAGCTACCAACAGGAAATCAGAAGTTGTGCATATCAAATAAGTAAGACATAACATTTATCATAGAAAATACGACTGATTCATGAAGTTGAACCCATGGAGAGGTAACCAAAAAACACGACAAATTCAGGGAAGAGCAAATCGTCTATTGTCCCCAAACAAGGAGATATTTCGCTCCAATTGGAAGGAATCATCAAGGAATCGTGCATATTGTAGCCGTATGATTCTTGCTAAATTTAAGCACATAAATAGCAACTTCCAAATACGTCATTTTCATTTATCCACCGTAAACTACTTCAAATATTAAAAAAAATCACATATTCGAAGATTTTTCAACGGTGGAATACTAATCAAAAAAACAATCAGAAAACGCACCACAAAAAAAAGCAAGAAATCAGTCTCTCTCCCACTTCTGCTTGAACTTCCACGGAAAAACTAAGTAATGATACAACTACTGCAGCAAAAAATATCCTAACAAACAGACACTAAATACATCCAGTGAAGACATTTCGGACCTAAAATTCCAGGTCGAAATTTTAAACAAAATCTTTTTCACAATTATATACCGTATGATGGAGGGGTTCTGGTTCCCTGAATACAGATTCTTCCTCTGGTACTGTGACAACATTACCATAGTTTAGGCCAAGAGAAGGAGACTTATTTTGTTGATGTGAAGTGTTGTAAGAACCAGAAAACAAATCAGGTGGTGGTGGGGGTGGAGGCAAATTCAACAAAGAAGAAGCAGACTGTGTAAACGACGCCAATATCGGCGGTGTTGGGGGTGGTGGTAACACGAATGATTCGGCAGCTACGATTTCAAATGTATTGAAAACCTGAAAAAGAAATTTCTCATGATTTGAACAGCATCAGAAAGGCTTGATCAACGCTAAAAAAATTCAAGTATTATGGAACATCTTTGAATAGCTATTTTTGTGATAGTAAAAGCAGATCATCAAATATGTCTCCGGACTGAATAAGTCAATCAAACGCTAAAGAACATTATCTAGAGCAAATAAGAAACAAGCACACAAAATTAACAGAATTCCTCATAATCAATATAAGAGAATTTCAGATTAGACTACATGACAAACGAAAAGTACTACCTTCTCTTTCTCCTTGGGAATTGCAGCCAATTTTGCCTTCTGTGCTGGACTGCACACTGATGGTACTTCTTCCTTTTTAACCGGTGTCCATCCCTGCAAAAAAATTATTAAATGATTCAATAGCGTAAAACATAGATTGCTAAACTCACATTTAAAACTGAACTTACATTATCTCTTTCTCGGTGTTGAGCCCCTGAAGAAACTGGATAAGTAATGCGTAACTGACTTTCTTCTAAAGTCCTTTGTGCAGGTGTTTTAATTGGAAGTGGAATCGAGTTCTGGAAAACAGTTTATTTTTTGCATCACAAGTAGGAATATCACCAAAAAAAATTTCAGTTCATAGAAAGAGAAATTTATATAAACATTAAAAAAAGGAAGCGATTAGTAATTCCGAAATTTTGTTTTATGCTGTTCTAAAAGGCTAACTAATATAATTGAATCTTGACCATCAGTTTCAAAATGATTAAGGGTTTTAAGGTAAGCGAAGAACAAATATAACTGAAATCAATCAAAACACTATAATTAACTGTCCAAACCAGGTATTCATAGACGAAGGTACTGAGGATTTAGATTTCTTCCGTTTTATATATACAGTAAATGCTGCAATTGGATTGTGAAACTAGCAATTTGAATATAATTGAGATGAGCTTACCGGAATGTTAATAGTGATTGGAGCAGTAGGTTTCAAAGCAAATGGATGTTTCAAGAAATCAGTATCATCTTCGCCTTTTTTCTTTCTCGGCGCTAAGTCTTCATCACTCGATACTAATTCACCTTTTTCACGACGTACAGCCTTATCTTGTGACCGTTGTAATTTCTGACAAAAATCTGAAACAAAAGTCAAATATTATACGTGGCTAGTAACATGACCAGCAAATTAAGATATAGCGTCTAGTAAAAACTAATGCAAAAAACACTTACCAACAAGTTGATCTACAGATTGTCCGCCTGCTTTCAGTTGAGCTTTTGCTTCAAGTGGGGCATTCGGTAAATAACCAAGCTAAAGTTTAAATTTACATAAATTGAACATCATAAAAGGAAGTTCTAATTACCACGTTTTTCAGATGAAAAGGGGTAATGTATCTCAGAGCAATCGATCCGCCAACTTCGGTACAAAATTTTTCCAAAGTTTTGAAAATCCGTTGAAAATAGCGTTGTCAAAATGGCTTAAATGATCAGGAGAAAAATCGTTGGAGAATTATTTGATTTTGCTGCTGAAATTGGTTAAAATTAAAAATATCTACTTGTGAGGAAGACAAAGTAACACGAGTAACAAACTTGAGCCATCTGAGCGGCATTTCTTTGTGCAATCTCCAGCAATTTCTTTTTGTCAATTTTATGATCACTTGATTCATCATCACTTCTCCGCTTACTGTTACTTTCTCGATCACGGTGATAATGATAATGATTATGAGTACGATATGAGCTTCGGACTTTACGATAGTGAGATGAATGCGAGCTTCGTGAGGAAGTACCTGATAACGACCTACAAATTTCAATTTATTAAAAATTTAATATAAAATCAATGCAAATGGCTAAAACACCAAGAATAATGCCACACAAAAATAAAACCTTGTGCGTGAATGTGAACGTGAACATGAACTTGATGGTGATCTTTTTCGCTTACGCTCCGAATAAGGGCTTCTCACAGAGCGAATTTGCCTCCACCCTTTTGAACGTGTGCTGGAAAGTGACCTCTTAAGCACTTAAGTCTCTCAACAAAATCAATGCATTTGCATACCAAAAAATTACTTACTGTATAGGAAGTGCACTAGTTCTTTCTTTGGCATCTTTTTCTCCACGATTCCATTGCCATTTCGAACCTTCATGCACTCTTTTGTTACTATCTACGTAATACGACTGTACATAAAGACTACCTGAAAACTACTTCAAACTTCAGCTCATCATAGACATGAGAATACAACATATGCACCTATAGTGTAAGTGTTGTCGAGGATAAACAGTTTATATCAAAAACCAACCAGGCCGCCTACGAACTTTGTCAAATTCTCGTCCTGAGAATCGTAAATGCCCTTTCACTTTATTTCTGAAAAACGGTGAGTTTAAAGCGAAAAAAAATGGGTGGAAATTACGAAAAATGCAAAAATCAGTAAGTACAAGAAAATTTTTGCACTTTTTTTCTAAAAGTTTCCATTCCTTTTCACTATCTGATGATAACGAACTGCTGCGCTTTGAATACCGTTTCCCGTACTTCTTGTCTTTCTTTTCTTTTTTTCTTTTCTTTTCTGGAAAAAAATTTTTGGAAAACGCAAATCAAAAGTTGAAAACAAACAACAGCTCTCTAAACTTAATCATGAACTATTTCAAAGCTGCATTTGGAAAACACTTCATGAGAAGAAAACAAAAAAATAGCGAAAATCCTTTTTTCTAAACCCAATTTATATAGTTTTTTTAGTACCTACTATATGGCTGAATGTCATACTGCAAAAAATATAATTCATTCACCACAACCTACACAATTAGTCACCAAATGATAGTTAAGATTGATGAAACCTTTTTGAATGACTAACATATTAATAATTATTGTCAATCTTACCATCTGTTTTTCTTCTTGTCTCACTTTCATTTCCACTCATTCCTCGTTCCGATCTCAAATGTTTTTCAGCAATCAATTCGTCAACATTGTCATCATTTGAAAAAGAAGGTCCCGCACTTGCATCGCTTACTGGAATTTCTCCATCCTTTCCCATCTGACCTCTTCTCTCATCACTGAATAGTACCTACAAATCATCTTACTAGAAATATAGTTCAAATTGAGAAGATCACTTAATAAGCATTAATATAAGCATCACATAATGTTTGTTCAGGTGTGCCCATAATTTTGATTGCATAGATAAGATAAAAAAAAAGTAATAGATAGATTCTTGATGACGGATAAACCTTTCTCAAGATTTTTTATTACAGGCCGCTGCGCATCCTTTAAAAAACTTTAACTAATCCAAAACCCAATAAATATTCACTAAACGACCTAGGAAATATCTTGATACAGCTCAGTTCTCCCATCTATGTTTGAACTGCTAGCATCAACACTGAAGAAGCCTGCACCAAACAAGAAGATCATCCTCATTATCTCAGAACTATGGTCCGTAGAGCCGGTCCACACATTACGAAAAACAACTAACCTTGCTTATGGTGGCAATTTTAATGGATTTTGAAGTTTCAGTACGTTTAATTTTAAGAGGCGATAATAGCAATTCATCCTCGTCCTCAGAGATTGGCTGTGTCCCAAGAGCTTCCAGTGGTCTAGGTCCATACTCAACGTCATCATGCCTACTATCATCGCTCTCTACAAATCAACAAACAATTGAGAGTGACGATAGTCAATCGAGGACTACGACTAATATTACCACAATTAGCGAAGTAAAAAATCATATCAAGTTTTTCCAAAAACTCATACAAGATGCTCTGCAACCAAAAAAAAGGAAAAACATTACTTGGAATTGTATGACTAACTGCACCTGTAGTTGACCCGCTAACACTGCAATGAAAAGCATCTATAATTTTAAGATTAAGTCGTGTAAAACAATCGCAAATAATAAAAAATCCTTCATATGCTCAGCTACTGACGAGAAGAGCGATCGCAAAGGAATTTCATACAACAAAAATTAAACCGATTAACCAACAATATTTCAAATATGAATTTACTTTCTTATACTTTCTTATTGTTTGAGCATGATGGCCTAATTCTTATTGGGTCTAATTCCACGGTAAGTCAGAAATTCAGATCAGTTTGATTTTGCTACTTTTTTCATAAAAAAAGAATCCTTATGCATTTAAACATACTAATATCCTGAAAAGCAAGCAAAATATTTGCTTCAATTACCTTTTTCCGTTTTCTTGCTTCAATTTGATATTACGTGGTACAAATGTATTGTCTCTTTCTGCTCGCACCTTCGCTAGTATTTCCGATAAAGGTCGTGGCTTTTTCAATACAGGTGGACTTTCAGACTTCTTTTTCTTCTTAGCCAAAGGAAACACTTCTTCATTAACATCTGAAAAGTGAAGAAAATATCAGAAAAGATTCGAAATGATTTTCAAAAATGATCCATAAGAAAAAAAAAAGAAGTAAAAAAAAGGCTTACTAAATTCTTTTGTTTTATTTTGTGCAGCACTAGAAATATCTTGAAATAGCGCAGTTTTTCTATCCATTTTTGAACTGCTAGCATTAACACTGAGGAAGTCTGCACCAACAGGAAGATCATCTTCATCATCTGAGATCTAGAACTGTCAAATTTCACTTAAAATCAGTCACGATAAAAATATCAAAATAACTTATTATATCGTCAGTGTACGCACATTGCAAAAACTTTAACATGATTCAACGGTTACCTATCAACTCAAATTTTTATCGATTTTTCCAACAAAAAATTACCTATTGCAAAAAGAATGGAAGAACTTTCAAAACTCTATCATTATTTAGCATGAATTTAAGAGTGGAGCAAAATTTTATTGATATAAATTGATATAAATTATTGATGTAAATTTTATAATTTGAAACCTTGTTCTTTTTCAGTAAACGATTATCAACATGCCTGGTGGTTCTAACGTTGTTATAAATTAGGCCTAAAAAATAACCTTTTCCATAACTGCTTCAACAGACGGTGGTATAGTATAATTAACAAACTTCTGAAAACTTTCATGACAAATTTTCTCTCCTACACTTGCAGAACGACTGCGACTTCGATGTCTGAAATCATTTTAAAAGGCAACAAAAATTTAACAAGGTAAAGCTTCTTTTTCTCAAATCAATCTCATGATAATGTACTTCTTTTTCTTGCGCGATGGTGACTTCGACTTTGATCGTAATTTATACTTTGACTTCTTGCTCTTTTTAGATTTTTTGTCCCTGTGACGCTTTGATTTTTTGCTATATTCGTGTACGGATGAAAGGCTCCCATCACTTTCTACTTCTCTGAAACAGAAAGACGGAGTTTCAAATCCATAAGCAATGTTTGATATACAATATATGTAATGGAACAAAATCTAGTGAACACAGGTTAGAACCATAACAATAAAAGTTCACACTGACATGTTACGCTACGCAAACGATTGACTGACAAAAATCAGCGAATGTTTTAGTATTCCTGTAACAGATAACAAGTCTCTTCTGTCACTGAGCTCAAAAACAAAATAGCATCTAGTCCTCTAAAAACGAAATTGAACTGTATTGTCATGAGACAACTTTTCACCTCAGATATATCAAATGATGCTTCATAGTAACGATTAATGAAGAACAGACATTTTTACACTTATGCTACTTAAGGATGAGGATGAAATGTAAAAAGGATGAGCATACCTTTTCGTTGCAACTTCAATTTTTCCTCCAATTAAACTTTTCACATCGAAAGGCTGAAAATTCTTTTCTTTCATGATGATCCCTTTATAGCAGTTTATAAATCTTATTATAAAAAATCAGAGTTTTTCTTCTTTCTGGTACTTCAATAAATTCGAAAAAATCACCTCATTCGTTTTTCGTACTTCGTTGATCAATGATGCAATGATCGCATCACTTGACGATGGTTTCACTTCCTCCTCCTCCCCCTTTGCCATTCGGCAACTAACTAAAAGTATAAATGTTTGACACAAACGAAATTAACATGACCCGTGCGTTTTTAGCGAATCCATGCACTTCCTTATATTTATCATGAGGAATTTCGTTCTCTTCAGTAATATAATACTGTAATACCTCCGTCAAAAGCATACAAACCTACCCAATCGTATCCCTTACCCCATCCACCCACTCCCTCCCTTTCATCCGCACACGCACAAATATCGCTGCCCATTCCTCCGATAACTGCGTTGCGCACTATGAAACTATGACATCCTAGATTGCAAACCGTTTTGATGGGGAATTTTTGAATGAAAAACAAGCGATAGCCGTGACTTTGCAAGTGATGTTTAGTAATGATCATTGTTAGATTTTTCAATATCTACAGAATGACTAATGATTGTAATCAAGAATTACGGAATTATTCTCAGGAGAAGGATGATAATCAAATATCACTGATAAGGATTGAAAAAATGTCAACAGATTGGTTCGATATGATTTTAATCGAAAATGAATAAAAAGAAAAGATCTTCAAGCTCAATCATAGGAATGAAAAGGGTTAGTGTTCATCTTCAGAGATATTTCAATAAAAAAGTCTGGTAATTAGTGAAACCGAGGTTAACGGGGAGGTAAATAAGTGAAAACAGGTTTTCCGTTGCCCCATCCATATCCAAATAATTTCTATCTTTCTCATATTATTCGAAAAAAACAGTTATTGGTGCTATGTATAATGATGTTATTAATGTTATTGAGTTATCGATGCGCTGCCGTCATTTTCTTCTTATTTTCTGTTCAATCATATTTTACTCTTGTTTTTCGATGACAGTTAATTATTAATCTTCTATACTTTCCATTTTCCTGATTTATTATCCAGTTCACAAGACCGTATATGTGCTATTATTCAAAAGAATGTCTGAATTTTAAGATTTGATGATTTGCATTGTCCAGACTGGTTGGACCTTCTTCAAAATTCATTTTCAGGATGAATTCAGGTTATGCATTTCTGATAAGATGTGTTAATTGAATTTTCAAATCGTAACACAAAGCGAACGACTATTTCGCCTTTCTTAATAACGAATTAAAAAAATGGTTTTTAAATATGCATTAATCTATTCAATCGGGGGATAGAGAGGAGAAATGCTTGTTAGTGAATGATCTGTTTGAAATGCAATTATTGACCGTTTCTATTCATTTCAATGAGATACTGCGCAATATTTCAATTCACAATAAAATTGACTAATACCGCTAACAGTTAACAATTCAGGATAACAAATTCCATGTAATTTTTGTTTGTTGTTAAGTGCTGATGGATGAGAAGTGCTATGTTATTCATACTGATATTCCTTTATAATGGACAGATTGTTTCAATTGAAGGAGAAGACTTCAAGAACTATCATAAAGAGAATAATCTAAGAAAAGGTATCAATAAAATTAATTTGGTTTTCAAATCTAATTTCAAAATTTGCTTTAAAATTAGAATGCATGTCCTAAAATTAAAATCGAATTTACCATTTTTCTTTTTTTCACACTCAACACTTTCAAGTAACGAAGAATATTTATCAAACGAAGAGAAAGCATTGAAATACAAAATAGTTCAAATAAAAATGGCAAATGGGTTCACATTTTTTCTCTTTTAAACTATATATAATTCTAAAATAATTCTTTCATTCAAAAGGCTTATTGATATTAAAAGATTAAAGCTAACATTTCTGAATATTATCAGATGTCTTTCTTCATTTAATCATTCTTTTTCCTTTTCATTTGTATAAATTACATATTTTCAATATCTGTTCTTTTAGTTTTGAATTAAAAATGCTTCTAAAAGATCTCTCTACTCATTTGCTAATCATTGCAAACAGTGTAAATTGTGGAAATTAGCACATCGTTGGATAATTTAGAAAATTGCGAATTTATTTTCGTTTACAAACATCGTAATTTTCAAATTTGTAATAATGAAAGGTGAAGATAATATTACAACAAATAAAACATAAATCTTGTTAGTCATTGATTTACAGCATAAATTTTCCATCTCTTGTTAATCACTGAAAATTTAAGCAGAAGCTTCAAACGAATTATAAAAATATTTAGCATTTTTATGAAGCTACATCTATTCAATGACCGATGAAATTTGACAATAAAAATGTTACTATCAATTCAGATACTCAGAAATGACCATATAACTGACCAAAATATGCCTGCTTATAGATAGCGAGCATTCTGATGTTCGATTTCATTGGAGTTGAGTAAGGGTACAGCTCAAGCTAATAATTATCATGGTTTTGTTAATCATATTTTTCAAAAACTATTGGTTACTAACTGACAGCACTAAATTTATTAGCTTAAAAGAGCATCGATTGTTCATCTTTTCATCATATATAATCAATAATTTTACCTTCGTACAATACTTCGATGTGTGGCTTTCATTCGATTTACATAAGCATTGATTTGAATTTGAAATTTCAGTGCATCAAACAACAATGTCATCCAAATGATTGAATCCGTTGGTACTAAATTTTTCAAATCGATAACTGAAACGGCTGATGATCTTGGTGGTCGATTTGAAATTGCTTTTACAAATTTCTCAAATAAAATTACAGGCCTGTTGATTGAATTTAGTTTGCCAAAAAATGTTATCCTCTTTAATTTATATTTCAACTCATTTCGAGAAGAAATGACTTCTGGAATCTGAAATCACATATTCATATTTGAGCAATTGATTCCTGATTTCCTCGAAATACAGTAGCTACTCTGCTCAATGACAAAAATATTTTTATTATTTATTCACTTATTTAATTGATGGTTATTCATTCATATGTTTTTTCTTGCAGAAGATGCTGATGTATTGGCTTTGGAATTTATATCGTTATCAACTCTTATCAAAATTACACTTTTTATACTTATCGTGCTTCTTCTACTGATCATTTTCAAATATTTAACACTTGGAACATTGTTTTTAAAAAAACGATGGCTTCGACATCATACCCAATCATCAAAGACACAAGTATGGCCAATAATGAATTCTTAATAATAGACACAAATTTATATTGGTTCAAACTATTCTTCAGTCTTTTTTCCGAGCATTTTACTACTTCTTCTACTAAAATTAAAAAAAAATTAATTTTTCAATTAGCAATTCTAATATTTTTGTATTACAAATATTTCAGTTCGTTATTTTGGCAACACCAGTGAAAGTGGAAGTGGATTCTGCAACATTCAAAAAATACGATAGCATAACAGCTGTCGTTCAACTTCAAACTATTAGTTCTGATGCACAATTCCTGTTGAAGCGTCTAAAGGAGTGAAATGCCAAAATAAAGGCTGATTTAATTAATTAGTTTTTCAACCTATTTGATGTAACTAATGCATTATTATGAATATAATAAAATGCAAATATAATATTTTCTGTTCATTTTGGGTTTCATTTTTTTCAATATGGATTCATCTGAACCACCTGAACTTATACTTTCGTTTTGTTTGCCTCTTTTTTTTAAAGTTCACCCTCATAATTAATCAATTTCATATTTTCTCGAAATTCTGAGATATAATAGCCATTGACATTTACCGATTTTTGCTATCTATTGAAAGATTGGCTTCCATGCTTCCTAAAATGATCATGGATTTGATTAAAATTCTTAACTAAAATTTGGAATGTTTTGAAAACATCCTTTAAATTGCTATATAAAGAGAGTTGTGTACCCTCATCCTTCCTTAAATGAAGAGGTTGAAGTTCATCCTTGATCACTATTCCATGATCTCTTCCATTTACCAAAATTTTATTTTATGTTACAGTGCAGCCTTTGTATTGTTGTCCTTAAAATGGGTATACATAAACAGTATTGCATGCTTCCTTATCATTTCTTATTAGTTTGAAAAATGGTAAGGAAATTACTTTGCATTATTATCCTTGGATGCTATGATGTACAATCACCAGATGTTCCACCTGATTGTCCACTTCTTCGTGTGCTATTTCTAAGCTTATATGGAATTTGCATACAACAAAAAAATGAAATAACACTAGCAATCAGTTATAGTTGAAGTTAATATTACGTTGAACTTTTGTACCAAACAATTGCATTTTTATGTCAAAGTTTATCTTTGTAATCAATAATCAATGATAAAAAGATTTATACAAAAAATATAAATACAGTAATGTTTTTTGATGAAAAAGAAATTCGAAAAAGAAAGATTGAATGGAATAATTATTTAAACTTAACCAATCAATTATTAAAAATAATTTGTGATGCTTTTCTTCCGAGTGTAAATTTTTATAAAAATGTCAACAGTGATGATAATATCTACTCTGTCTATTCCCACAGACAATACTGCAAATATTTGTTATATATTTAAACGTTTGTCTTCTCATGGCGATAAACTTCATAAATGCTGAATGTTAAATCATAGTACAATGATCCTCAAAAAATTCTTTGCTTATAGCTTTCAGTCCCAAAGAATCACATGGAATAGGAATTGTTAGAATGTAATAAAAAATATCAGAAATTAGAAATATCAATATTCTCAAGTAGTAATTAATTTGATATTTCTTCTCATACGATAATTTACTTCATTAATACATTACAGAAGGTAGATCATTTTAACAGCAATTCATAATCACATTCCAAAAATAGTTTAAAATTTTCATTCTTTTCCTCTAAAGGAAGAATTTAAGAATAAATAATACATGAAATTATTTCAACATAGCAATAGATATTGTGATACGATACGATAAGAATATTAAACTTAAATTCATATGAATCTTCATATGAAGATTCATATGAATCATATGAATCTTATCCTACTGCATAACAGTATATAATGATGATAAGATTATTATTAAGTTTTTTCAAATAATAGCTTTCTCTAATTTTGAATCTTCCAGTTTAGTATTTAATACAATTTTTAAAATCTAACGTTACGACGGATTATTGCCGGAGAGTATGCCATTTTACATTCCATTTACCTGAGATGATGGCTTTTCAATATGCTTCATTTGTACATCTTTATCTTCTGCATAGTTATTGTACTTATATCTAATTGCAAGTCCAATAAATAACCCAATTACAATAACCATTATAAAAGCATAGACAAAAAATTCGGTCGCTGGTTCAGCAACAATATGTGATCCGGAAATTAGCATATCTATCACATTGCCCAGGAATACAGTCATCAACCAAACAGCCTGAAAATCAAATAAGCAAATTTATATTTATGAATAAGATAATTTGTCGATTCTTCTTTCTTTTATGGCCATTCAACTTATTTAAAATAATATACAATTGAATTTAATATCATATCTGCAAGCAAAACGTTTGAAAATGTAATATTTTTTATTAGAAATTTTAATGACATTGTTCAAATTGTACCTGTAATACAGATTTCATATTTGGTGATGCTTGTGAGTATGAGAATTCTAAGCCAGTTACCGAAAATAATACTTCACCAACTGTTATGACAAAAAATTGCGGTAGTTGCCAAAGGATTTTGACTGTATTTGGCTTGACCACAGTGTAAACATTAATGATGCTCTCAGTTATGTATACGACATAAGCGCCACCAGTTTCTGCGTAAATAGTGTAATTGTATGGACAATTAGTAACCAAACAATTAGCAGGACCAATTTTTAACACATATTTCGGTGAGCTGATCAGTGCTGGATGGATATCCAAATGTTTACCTGAGGATAACGAATTGAGATGAGCAAAGATTTTATTCATATGAACCAAAATAAATATTACTGTTGGCAAACTGAAGCATCTCATTCTATTAAACATATTATTTGAGTCTGTATAATCCAATAACCGTTATCACACGCTTATCAGATTAATTTCAGTCTACAATGAACCATATTACGGAAGCCAGTGAAATTAAATGATCTCTAATCAAAATCTGAATTTTACGACTACTCAGTAAAAGAGCAAAAAGATGCCTGATTCTATAATTGATTTTTGATGAATGTTCCCGTGGATATCAATAATGTAAAAACTTCCGTTCGCTAAAATGGAATCATCTGACACCAACAGATACAAGCGGGTTCCACTGTTTTCAGTTTTCTCACAATTATAAGGAAAAAAGGAAAAGCTACTCCTGAAAAGTTAAAAATTACAAAAGTAATAAAAGTGTTGATTACCAAGATTGACAATCTGGCACATATAGCAATGCAAAATATAAAAAAAAATTTTTTTAAATGGACTAACTTATTTTGAGATGATTGAAATAATCCGAGAACATATCCGGATGAAACAGTACTTGATAAATTCAATTGAAAACTTTGTGCATTTTCGATCGAATCTGATGTTACGGTATAAAAACCTTCTGGCAAATCAATCTTTCCACTACTAAGTGTTGCTCCGTTAATCCGATAAGATTGTAAAGAATCACCAAATGCTTGCAGAATCACTTTACCATTTTCCGGACATAATTCCATTGTCTTGTTTATTTGTAACTATAAACAAAAAATTGATTGAAAAATTTTTCATTCGACTGTAATACTTTAATAACTTATGTATTTTTTTAATATTTTAAAAACAATACAGTATTTAAAAAAATTTCAATTCTCTAAATTTATATGTCAATAAAAGTTGTTATTAAAAGTATTACTTGCAATATTCCTGCCATAACAAAGGCTATAGTTGCAAGACAACCACCAGCAGCCATTTTCCGAAGTGGTGTTACTTTACAAATCCTTTGAGCTATTGGATAAATCCATGCTTCAAATATGGGTACTATAATAAGGACAATAAGCGGATTAAGGGTATTCATTTGATCTGGTAGTATGGTAAATGGACCAACACGACCATCCATGCGACGAGCTTGTAACATCCACGTACTACCCTGTAAAAAAAAGAGAAAATTTGTTGCAGAAGTTGATTCCTATTCTCAATAACCAAATCATATATGTTTAGACTGAATATGTCGCCTGTGTATGAAATAAGATTTGTTTGAAATCACTTTTAAATTAGTTCATTTACATATAAAAAATTACTTTCATATAGCAAACAAACTTTCCTTATCCATCAATTACCATAGTTTAAATTTTATGAATCAATGCAAAATAGATACGAATAAAACAATTTAGGTACTAAATGATGGAATAATTTTCAAAAATATTTTTTAGATATTTTAATTATCTTAAATTCAAGTAAGTTCCAGCTTTGATTGAATGTTATTCATATCATAGAAGAAGTTAACTTCATAAACGATTTCTCTAAGTGCTTCCATTTAAGGAAGGAGATTAATATATCATCCTGCCTTCTCTCTTGATTTAAATTTAATTAAATTTGTTTCTTTCTCATCGCAAAAATATTTTTGGAGAAGTATAACTTCTATAATTCATGTTTATTATTTCTCTTTTTCTTTTAAAGAAACAAAAGTAAAGAAGAAAAAAGGGAAAGAAGTTTTCTCAATCATTTCAATCGTTTTTTTCAATAATTGGAAGTATATATATATTTGGGATATCACAGATATGAATAGATCAATAATTTACAGGAAACTTCTTTTCCGGTTTACTAAAGACCTATACCTAATGAAAGTGCAACAAATACCATTTCAATTGAACATTTGACGGAAAAAAATAACAACTAATGTTAAAGTATGAAAAAGCGATTTCTTTGAGTTAATCATTTTATAATATTTTTATTTTACCTGTTGATCGAATAGCGCCCAAAAGAATACAACTGGACTGAATAGAACCAAAACAGCCACTAAACTTTTGACATCGCGTAAGAAATGATTGTCATATTTGGGTACAGCATAATCGAGCCAATGTTCAGCTTTATCTTGACCTCTACAAAATACATTATTTTATTATTCAATCAACTTAACAATAGTATGAGTTAATATTGTATCAAAAAAAGCCTATTTCAAATTATTTATTATTCAATATATGGAAACTGTAATCGTATCAGTTTATCTTCTAGCGTTTGTTCACTATAACCGTAGTTCTTGCCTTTTGCCTAACTCTTTTAGAATCTCGGAGAATTTATGAAATTACCAGGAAATTTTTACTCGTACAGACATTGAGTGCTTTTATTCCCATTTACCGATTGGATAGATGTAAACTGATATTTCACGAGTGATAAATCTAATTACAAACAATATTCGACGAAGAGAATTAGAAGTATTACTTAATAAAATTGCATAATTTTTTTCGAGCGGCATAACAAATGCAACAGACGGCATTGAATACAACGTTACCCTTCACAGGTGGCACTATTTTATAATATCGCCAACCGACTAGAAACAATAAAAAGGCCAGTAACATTAATACACCGGGAACACCTGAAGTGAAATATCTCATTAACTTCCCTCACTTCATACATTTGTTACTCTAAAATTTTTTAAATTTACCCTTTCCATTTACTTACCAAATGCCAATGGAAAACAATATTCGGAACCAAAACATTTCACTCGTCCTCTCAATATCGGTGTCAATAAAATTGCTAACAAAGAACCAGCATTAATTGCAAAATAGAAAAATGAGAAAAATTGTCTTCTTTCATCCACTTGGTTCTCTTCAAACTAAAAATTTGAAAAGCAAATTCTCAACATTAGATAAATTAAATTTGGAAATTTATAAAAAGATTTGAAGCAATGGAAGCAAAATGGAGCCATATTAACTGAAATTTCAACAATTCAAGAATTCTATAGCAAATAACTGAGAGAATGAATTGTTTATTTATATATTCTTATATCTTTCAAAGAATTTATCAAAACAATGTGACAATAGAAGATAATGTTTAAAAAGTAATTTATCAATTCTTTTTTTCCTTTATTAAAATTTATTAATTCCTTTGAAGATTTTTTTCTCCTCAATAATTTTAATGCAAAATATCCAACCTGATCAGCAGCAAATGCTGAAACGCATGGTTTTATACCACCTGTAGCTAAAGCAATAACAAATAGTCCGCCAAAATTAAATATCGAACTAATTTTTTGATCAAGTTCTGGTATTGCACCAACTGATATCAATACATGACCAATCACATAAACAATAGACATCCAAAGTATCACTCGAAATCGACCGAAATAGTTATCCGCTGCGATTGAACCAAACAACGGTGAGATATAAGCAAGTGCTATGAATGAATGGTAGAAAAGTGATGCCTGACTGTAAAAGTAAAATAAATTCAATTAGATGGTTACAACATAATTACAATTTTTGAAACATAAATTTAATTAGCATAAAATGATAGAAATGCAAAATGGTATTATTTTAACCTTTCACTGAAATGATATTCGATGATAAGAAAAAGCATTAAAATGGCTCGCATGCCATAAAAACTGAAACGTTCACAGAATTCATTGCCAAGCATGAAAAATACTCCTGCCGGATAGGCTCGAACACTTGCCAATAATCCTTTACGATTATTCGTATTCATATTGCAATGATTTAGGATAACTTGAGTTATTTAATGATATTAACAGCTATTGATGTTGATTTGTTCTGGAATTATTTTCAAAATTTAAACAAAAAAATTGGAATGAAGATGAAAAGTTAATAATATTAACAATTATCTTATATTATATTAATGAATTTAGGAATGATAATTTATTTACATTCAATTAATTAAAAGTAGGCACTTTGAATACTTTATTTAATTGAAGAATGAAAAATGTATTGAAAATAATCATTTTATGTGATGATAAATTGAAGAAACATTTAAATTAAATCAATGCAATAGAATGATACAATTAAAATTTCTGTAATAATTTACATCATTTTATTGCATTAACAATAATGCCACCATTTGCTGTCCCTCTGATCATTCATTACTGTTTTGGTTGGATAGATGAAATGTTAAGTGTCAAATCTTGCAAAAAATATTACATATATTATATGCTTTATAACTTTTCATATTCTTTCATTTTTCCTTTTAACAAATGTTTTAAAATTATAAATTAACATTTTAAAAAAATGTATATACGATATGCATAACATCTACATTTGCATAGTGTACTATTAAATACTGTATGAAATATTAGAAGTGAAGATTAGTGGAAAATTGAATGCCTATTTCAGCTGCATAATTTAATTATATTTTTGAGAAGTTTTATTATTTCATGTCTTTGATCATCACTGTCAACTGCTTTTGCTTGATCGATCCCTGGAATCACTTTCAGTGGTATATTTTGAAAGAAATGTTACATAAGCAATATTCCATTTAATAATGTTTCATTGTGGATTTGAAGAAAAGCATAAATATCACATTTAAATTCTCCACAAATAAATAATATATGAATTAAGTGAATAAATAAATTTAATCGAAGGCAGGTAGCAATTTTAGAAAGTTAAATCATAATTACTGCCCAAAATTTATGATCATTGATCATCTCGGAATGTTAAATTAGAAATATTGGGAATTCATAGTCTAACGTGAACAGTGCAACTTTTCAGGGATTGATTCAGTGCAGAGACATTGATCTTATTAAAAAAATTAATTAAGTCCATTCTGCATGTGGGTGGATAATTATGATGGCACAGCACATTAATTAGACTGATTAAATAAGAATGTTAAAAGTAACGAAAATGTCAAAATTTTCAACAGCATAGCAATATATGACTGACAAATAAAATACAAATTTTTTGAAAACAATTTCCATTTGATGAAAACAGCTATTTAAATGATTTATTATGCAACTGATAAATTGATAAAATCATTGGTTAATTGATTTCCGTGAATAAATTCAAACAATGAAAAGGGCAGAAATCGAAAAAGGAATGTGTTAAAAATTGATGAATCATATTATCTAATTTATTGTGAAGATATGAAAACAAGAAAGACCCGTTCTCAGATGCAAAATTTCAATATATTACTTTTATTCCTTCGTTAAATTAAATTAAAATCTTTCTACCCTCATAAAAAAATCAAACGATCAGCAGATGAAAATAAACAATTGAAGGAAATCGCTCAGTTACCATGATCGAATTAAAAAGCTGGTTATAGTTATCAACAATAATAACTCCGTGATCAATGGTCATGTTGATATGATCGTGATGATAATAATAGTATTATTATCAATAGAAATGATGAGAAAGAAACATTCATTGATTTTTAAATCTCTATTTTTTAAGTTGGAATTCAAAATTTTCAATCAAAATTTTCAACGATATGAGAGGAAATAATCTATTTTTATTTTCTTCCTTCTCTTTTTATATTTTTATTGCCACTTCCTTATTTTCCCTATTTTACTTAGCTAATTCTAGAATCTGAGAGAAACCAGAAAATCGCAAGATATCAAATGAAAAATCCTGAGAGAAGCCAAATGATCACAAGATTCGGATGAAAAGAATAATGAATTGTGCAAGGGATGGCAGGAAGTCCTAATAATATCCGTCTTCCTCCAATTTACCGTTTTTCACACTAATTTTGTTCCATGCTATTAATGCTCTCTTCGAGATTTCACATCCTAACTTATGGCTCCTAAATCGAAGTAGAAATAATATCAAAGCACTAAAGATGCGGTCTAAAGTATGTACTAAGTCGTATAAACAATGTACTTTAATGTTCCCAATAAATTAGTAAATGACACACTGACTAGTAGGAACTATCGAGATTATTAGAGTAATCTGCTTTAACAAGCGTAAAAAAGGAGTGGAAGAGATCAATTTTAGATATATCGTAATCATTTAAGTTGAATGATTATAGCTTTGTAAATTAATTTCAATTTTGAAGATTTTATTATCTGTTCAAATCAGTTTTTTACTTAGCAAAGATTAAATGAAGTTTAAATTCTTAGACATTCGCTATAAACTCAAATACCGAAATTCCCGACTGTCACTATGCGATCAAATAAAAGCGTCGAATATTTTTGGATCGTATTTTCTTTGTTATTGCTTCATTTGCTCCGCTTAAATAATACCACACAAATTCTCAAACCGAAGTATCAAGTCGCAGTAGTAAACTTTAAAGTGAAATAAATCAAACAATGAGACAATGGAACTAACTGGATTATCTCATGAAGGCATTAAAAGCCTTAAACTATAACCCGTATATTAGCCGGTACTAATCAAGATTTATTTCATACCTTGGGCAACGCAGAATCACACCAACATTTCCAATCTAGATTAAATTACGTTCAGTAATGATAAAAGAGCAAGAGATTGCTATTCGTGCCAATCAATTCATTGATTCAATCCAAGGAATAATTGGCACTATGAAAGAGTAAATTAGGAAATACTATAACCAAACAATCTATCTTGTACAAGATACCTGATATTAATTATTATACTATTATACAGCAGGCACTTAATGCTTTCATACAATAGAAAACATGAAAGTATTGCAAATTTTAAAGAAGAGAGAAGAAAATACAAAAAAAGTAGCAGAATTAGATATTTCAAGATCATTCCAGACTTATTAATTATCTCCAGAAGGTATGTTCAGGAGTTGTTTGTAGTTTGTAACTGAAGAGATTAGAGAAAATGTTTAGCAGATAGTCAAGAAGAAAAGAGATCACTTAGCTTCTTTATTCACTATCGTTATCTATAAGTCATGCTTTAGTTGGTGCTGTACATAGCAAAAAAGGTTTTAGTGGTCGCATTAGCTGCTAAAGAGCTTGCCATCGCTAATTTATTGCTAAAGCAATTGCTGAAAGAGTAATTAAAGGAATTAAGAATTTGATTATTAGAAGAAATAACCTAGAGACAGATTACATTTCGACGTAGAATAGCTGCATTAGATTAGAGCGCGGTGATGGTGAAGAGGCACATAAATATGTTAGAAGAAAAATAATTACAGAAAATAATAGCATTAAAAGAGATCATTAATATTATTATCAGAGATATAATCTCTTGTAATAATTTACTTTATAAGCCATAAGAATTACTTTCTGAAGCTAAATCTATAGTGATTGATGTAGATGTTGATGAATTTTTAAATGCTAGAAGTCTTTTTTGATCAGCTGAATAGCAAAAAGAGTACGATAAACTGGATGAATGAACAGAAATAGAAAGACTGATATTTTTAAACAAGAAGTAGAGCGAGGAGATTAAAGAAGCATTTAATAATGAGTACAATGGGTACTATGTGCTAACATTACGACAAACTAACTGATCTTCTTGGTGGGGAGAGTACCTGTACAGCGTCATTAATTTTAATGAAGTACTTAGTAGTGGAGTGCTGCAAAAATTTGATAAAGTGGTTGGCTCTGAAGAAGGATGGTTTAAGGTTTGAATAGTTTCATAAAAATATAATAAATGAAGATAAGCACTCCATTACCTATGAATCGGTTGATGATGCGTAGGAGCTTAGGAGCTTACCTAGTATATGTGTCTTTTAATGATGTTCAGAAGATGATGAGAACTACATAAAAACAGCATCTGAGTATAGAGAATCACTAAAAGTAAATCTGGAGAATACTTTTAATACTGAGATAGAATACTTCAGGAGAAGGATCGTGCATTCTGTTCTTATTTTGTATTACTATCCAATTAATAAATTGTAGGGTTCAAAAATATTATTGATAAATTACAGAATAACTTCTTAATAAGTTCTCGATATAGAACCTAGGAGTTTGTTTAGATCCTAAAGATAGAGATTCATTTATAGTAATAGACAAGGTTGATTCATTAGAATCTGTATTAGAAGCAAAGATACTGGAACATAAACAAGAGATTGTAAATACGTTAGCACAGGAGAGTCATTATAGGTAATACATAAGAAGAATTAGTCAAGAAGCATAAAGACAAGAATCAACCATCAAGAAGTATAAGAATTATACAAGGTGATTTAGAGAATTGATTCTCAAAGTAAAATTCAATGTATTAAATACGTAGGAAATTATGGCAAGTCGCTTAAAAATGACCAGATCCTTCGTAAAACACTAGAAAACCCTGCAGTGACTTGACTTCTTTGATGCTCATTTACCTGAATATATGAAAAACGTATTGGATTTAAATAGTTTAAAAATCCAAGAAGAAAGTTTCGTAGAACCAAATCTAAAGACTGCTATCTTTGATTCTCCTCCTTATTCTCCTCCTCAAAGTTTAATGACCATGATGACTACTATATACCTATAGCTAGAACATTAATCCACTCCTGATCACTTTGTAATGCTATATAATGCTATCTGATATACCTGTAAAAAAAGTGACGTGAAGCATTGGAGATAGAAATCCGCTTGTTTTTTCAAATTATCCCTTTTACTTTCTTTATTTTACCTCCTCTAACCTATCTCTTTTTTCTTTATTTATCTCACATAAAAGAGTAGTTGATGATATTATGATCTGATGATATTATGCCACTTAAAGATAGGAAAAAATTTAGAGAGGTAGAAAAAAAGGATGGTTTTTTTTAAATAAGCCATTCCTTTTACCATTTTCGGCTTCTTCCTAATTCCTCCTTCTTCATCTCTTTCTATTCAGAAATCCTTCATTACAAACTGGTTTTTAGAGTTTTGAAAATTTTCTAAACAAGAAACATACTCCTCATTTACAAATTTATAATTATTAATTAGCTGTATTTAATTAGTACTGTTAATAAGAAAATCTTAAAGTGTCTTTTTTTAGTTGTTTAATATGAATACAGTATGACCATAAGATAATATTAGGATTGCATAGTGAAAATTGGTAAGATAGTGCCAAAGAAAAATAATTTATCAAAAAGTACTGATAACAATTATACATAACTTATTAATTTCTTTATGACTGTTAAATGAAAAATTTTGATTTTCTATGCAACACTGACACTATTTTCAAGTTAGGCTTTTTTCTTGAACAAACTGAGCCACAATATATTTACTATTATTAAGTCAAAAGAAAAATTTTGAAGCTTAGAATATTTGTAGAAATGAATGAAATGGCTGGCATATGATATATAAAGATTTTTAAGATATCAATTGAAATCCCTCAAAGACTGCTCCAATATTAGAATGTGGAAAGAAGAAAATTTTACTTCATCCTTCTCCATCGTTAAACTTTTTAAAGATTTTAACAATTAAAGAGTTAAATTAAAAAAAAGAAAGAGAGAAATTAAAGGAATATCAGTACAAAACTTTTCTTAGTATTTCATATTTATCCCAAAAATCACAAAGTAATAAACAAAAAATTAAATTTTCTAATTAATATCAAATAAAAACATTTCACAGCAATGTGTCACTTCCATTATTCAATTATTCGTAAAAAAAAAGATTAACTTTAACAAATTATTATCGTATTATCACAAACTTGAAAAGATATTTTCAATCTTCAGCCGCGTTATTTTTTAAATGATGAATGAAAAGAAATGAATGGCCAATGGAAAGTAAAGCATATTGCATTTCATCTCTCTTTCCACTACTTCTCATCAGCATATATTCTGGTTGAAAAAGAAACTGGTAAGAGATTTTACAATTAAATCAAATTAGATCATTTCATCGATTTTTCGCCCATTTCTTGACATTTAACAAATGAGAGAAATGTAATATTAGCAATTATAGAATTTAATTTTAGGAAAGAAAAAGATGAATATAATTGCTTTCATTGTTTTCTATTCCAAACAAAGAATTCCTTCACAATTTAATTTAATAATTTGAAGAAAAATTAATTCTGAAATTGAATTCATAATTTTCACTAAATATAAATAATATTAGAAAATTATTCCCAATTTTATAAATTAACCTTTTTTTTGAGCAAATTTTTATTATTGTCATTTGGATAATTTCATTTGTATTATTTGAATGAAATAATTAAAAATGAATTTTCTTTTTGAAGAAAATATTATATAATTCAATTAACTAACAAAAATAGTTATAATTACAATCAAATAACAACGATTATAAGAATTCTTTTCTTAGGAAAAAAAGTGATCAATAATAATATGCTATATTTAGAATTGTGTAGGCGTTTAATCTGAATGAATGAGTTATTTTGTTTGAAATAAAACATTAAATATTATGGGTGAATGAGAATAGCAAATGTCAACCATCTCTTCATCGAGTCAAATGATATCAATTCACCAAAGCTTGTGAAGAAAGGAATTATGAATGAAGGGATAGTGGAAAATTGTTTGTTTAGTGGAAAATCAGAAAATAGATAAGGTAATCAGAAAATAGATAAAAAATAAGGTAATAATAACTGGCAGGAATCATTTACTCCTATCGATAGATAGATAGATAGATAGATAGAGAGAGAGAGAGAGAGAAAAGGTTTTATATTTATAAGGAAGAAGAAATGAATTTACAAAGTAGCAAATTGTTTGTTTTCGTCTTTAAACCATTTTTAAATAAATTTTACGATTTGAGAAAATTCTTTAGATATTTTTAACATCGGCCTCTTTACTACTATTTAAGTCTTAATTTGTAGTATGATTTAGTCCATTTTTTTTTAAAAAAAGAAATTATTAAAAGATTACCCTTTTCACTTTGTTCAATTGTTAATATCGATATCGAATATAATTCAATCTCCTTAGTATTTTGAATTTCACTTATGGAAGAAGAAAATAACGATTTATGAAATACCACAACAAAAAGATTTAATGATACAGTCTAAAGATCAAAGCAAATGTAATTAAATGCACTAATTAGCATTTGTCATTCGTAATTATTACAACGATGATTTAGGAATTTCGCCACTAAATCGAAGCGGAATAATGTCAGTAATGTCATAAAAATCAGGGCGCAGAACATCATATTAAGGTGGAAACAAATAAAAGCTTACATAAAAAAACATTTATGTAAGCTTCAATGTATCAGTCATCATTGTATCATTTTATTCATTGTATCAATTCAATATATCAATCTTCAAATATATCAATTCATTCTAAAAATCCCTTAACTAACACCAACACAATTGTCAATTTCGACACTTTAGCAAGAATTTCAAGGAAATTTTCAAAAATATCGAAAGAGAGACATTTTATCCCATTGCTATAAATAGTATCAACAAGACATTCATTTCAAGCTTTATTATTAATTCCGATAGAATTAGAAAAATATGGCATATAGAATTACTCTATCAAATAATCTCACCTGTCACATTTTTCATTATTTAACTCTCATATAACCTAAAATAAATAAATAATATCCCATTTATGCTAACTTCGTATAATTAGAAAAATGTATTGCTCTATCAAACAATCTCACCTGTCATATTTTTCATTATTCTAACTTTCATATGACCAAAAAAAACAAGTTGCTGTGAGAAAAGGAACCTCCAGTCAATTTTTTAGTACTTTTTAAATCGAACTTTTAAATCGATTAGATAATCTTTTGATCAACTTTAATCTGTTAAACAGAGTTTGATACTGCGGCCAGTTTCTTTCTAATGTTTTCTAAAGCGGATTACTTTTTGAAAATTAGAGAACAGTTGTATGAGAAGCGATTGCAATAGTTCATTTTTGTGAGAAATATAGTATCAAGATAGAAATAGCAGAACGACAAGATGAAGGTGACCTTACGGGACCTTTCTTTTCGTTAATTAGTTACTTCGCTGCAAATGATTGGAGGTACGACCACTTCTAATAGATTATGAGTGATCATTCAATCCAAACTCTTTTTGCAAACTTTCTTCAACACTAAAAAAATATGTTTCCTGATGGATGAGATATGCAAACAGCCTTGCATCTATCGTCTTATCCAAAAATTGCAAATCAAATTCATTTCATATAACTTTTAGTATTTGTTGTTTCTGTGTACGTTGTCAAAGCAACCACGAATGATATGATGGGTGTTGAAATTTAAATTTCATGTTAATTTAGTTGAGACTCAAATATCTTCAAAATAAGACTGTAGAATACACAGTTACTGCACTTTTTTTACAAGGTTTTTCCGCGTTAAAAAATCTCATATCGTTTTTATCATAGATATTACATAAACATTCTGATTACATTAAAATAAAGTGAAACAAAAAGAAAGTATTAAAGATAAGAAAGGAGAATAACAACAACATTCTCGATCTAATTGACAATAGAAGACATTTTTGAACTGCATTTTTGAACTTTATGGCTGCAAGTTGTATAACTTGCAGCCATAAAGAAAAAAACAAAAGCAAATGAAAGTTGTAAGCAAAATACTTATCAGAAGTACTAGTTCTTCATCAATCAAATATTTTATACACATCAAATGTTATCGAATGCCATAAATACAAAACACAAAACATTTAAACTATATATATATGATTGGCTGATTTCGAGATTTTTGAAACAAAATAGCTATTTCACTGATAAACGGTAATTCACTACAGAAATACTGATATTTGAAAGTTTTACAATGTCAAAAAAGACCAAAAGTTTTATCCCTTTTCCTCCGCAACTTGTAAGAATCCTTAAAACTACATAAACACTACTATAAAAGAAATGCAAAATGATACAAATAGTTAATAATTTCAAAAGTACACTTAATTTCTTCTTAGAGTTAAGTTCAATCTAAATTTCAAAATACGAGTTTTTAGAAATTGAAAGTGGAAGAAATTTGAAAATGCACGTATCACTGAAGTAGTTAATTCAAAAAAATTCACATCTATTCTGCAAAAACTTATCTTCAAACTTCCGTGTTTTCCCGCATAGAAAAAATATTTCAGTTAAAAAATCTATAAGATAAATCTAATTCTATATTAGAATGCAGTAACCGACATAATGTAGAAGCAAGCTGAGAATTGTACAATAATTAACTCTTATTTTACATTACGTATCCCAAGACAGAAATAAGTCCAACGACATTTATAGTCATTGTACAACAAGCTCTCTTTTTCGTAATTTTGCCGAATAGGAATACAATCAGTGACAGTACAGCAAGCTGCACAGTGGTTGTCAAACTGAATACATCAGAAAAGTCCTTCAAATTACTGAGGACGTTTCCAGCCTGCACACACATCAAGTTATATGGAATTAATCCTAAAACTCTTATATTTTTGAAACTAAAATCATTACACAGATTACATAAACAAAGAAATTATTGGTTCCAATAGGATCTGGAAAACGCTAGAACTTGAAATTTATCAGGAAATACTAAAATGTCCATAAATCATGCAAATTAAGAGCTTACCTTTATATATATATAGCTTACACTTATATATATTTGTTTATTTACTTCTTATTTTCAAATTGAAAAAAAATTACTAACCAATTAAAACAGATAAAGCGAAGTTGCTCAGTGGGATATTTACAAGTGGTAAGCAAACATTTAACAACCAATGTGGCGTGAGTGGAAATAATCGAACACATAACAAAAAGTTGAACAGTCTATAGCGATTCTCAGCAACCTGCAAAATATTTCTGAGTGGTAACTTTTACCGATTACAATCTTTATCGCCAGCAAGCATCTTAGAAATAAATTCTTCTATGACCAAACCCACAACCGATTTAATACCACTGGCGGTCAAATTCAAGATTCTACGAGTAAATCAAACAAAATTCCCAAAAATTAGGTTAGGGTACTTTAAAATCTTACTACATGAAGCTTTGAATCAGTGACTATTGAGATATACAGTTTGGCAAAAAAGCGCACGTATTATAAGCTTATATGTTATAAATGCTCAGCTCAGATGTCCACTATGTGATATACATCAGAAACTGTTCCCGCCCATAGTTTCTTCACTACAAATGATAAATTATCAGCTTGCAACTTTATGCATGAAATTTTGTCCACAAATATTGTATGTAGATAACCGACAATTTCTATTTTCACAATAAAATCCATAAACAATATTTTAAAGCTCACTTCATACCTGAGCCGTTGTAATTGGTCACTGAAAAAATGTTCGACAACAGGTTTTGCGAACCATAAACTAAATAGGTAGCAACACGAGGCACCTATAGTAGTCAATGGGCATACCAAAAGTAATGCTTTCCAACGACCAAACAACGCTCCTGCTAACACGTTCTGAAAACATTTTCGATTTGATATAAAATGTTGGATTTTTTTATAGAAAAAATTTCGAGGATTAATAAAAGTAAAATGCAAGCCAGCATACGTCTAGTCATATAATATGGAGAACTTTGGTTTTGCCAAACAGCAAGCTCATGCAATAGCATAGTTTAAAATATCGTACAGCCAACCAATAGTTTGACTAGTTTATGTTTGATTAAGATAATGTGAGATTAAGTCTTTAAATCTTTAAAAACTAACTACCATGGCAAAAGATCCAGGAATAGCAAACGATTGTTTGTACAAGTAGGCAAGGCTGAACAATAGCAGAAGATAGATGAAATGTTTATCTCTGAAAAACATCGATCGGTTCTTTAATATATCCGCCATTCGTCTCTAAGTTATCTTTGTATCCTGCATGGATAGAACATACCAGAGAAGCTATCTGAATTTTCAGAAATCGAAGACTAAATAATCCCAAACAAAATTCTGGATTCATTTGGAACAAAATCGCATGCGGTAGCTCAAAATTAGATGAAATCCAAACATCCACTTTTCCTTGTTGTGAGCTAACAAAAAAATTAAAACACACTAACCTGTACTTATTAAAATAATTGACAAGAACATTGAAATCTGCAACGGTTCTTGGGAAATACCAGCTAGACTTGTCGTGAGTTGTGGAAGGGAAAAGTTCAGGTCTTAGGCTCCATGTAAAGATTAGTGCAAGAGTTGATATAGTGAAGATAAACAAAAGTCCACCCAAACGTCGAAGCATCAATTAAAGAGCTTTAAATGAGGGCAAAACAGACAATAAGTTAAGCATATAACATAACGTGACAATCACTGTAAATGAAACTCGCCAATTCCGCAATAAGACATTTTGTGAAATGCAAACAGTGAGGCAGAGAGAGACAGGAGGAAATTAAACGAAAGGGCTGAGCGGAAATGAAGAGAAAATAATTCCCAACATTCAAGACCACTGCTAGGAGTTCAAAGATTAATTAACACAATTATTAACAATAAGTGACTGATTGATCCCACATTGTCTTATCATATCCGTTGCACACCATGGTTCCATCTGACTATATCACTTTGATCGAAAATTATCACTTATGAAACGCTCAACTGGCCGGTAAGTGCTTATTGATGTTTCATCTTATTTTGGCATAAACCCTCACTCTATTTAGTTCAGCTATATTTAATTCCACTTTTTTTCCCCTTCTTAAGAATTTCAAATGACATTTCTCTAACTCCTTTAAATCACTTTCAGTGCTTTGCGATAGCCGGAGGAAGGAAAGGATGGGACAGTAAATACTTGAATAATCAACAATATCAAAGCATCTTTGTTAGCATTAAACAATAACCTAATTCGCTTGTTGCTTCTCATAAATAAATACATGAGTCATTACTGACTACTGCCTTCGTCATGTTTAATAGGTTTGTATTGAATAAAACGTGTGTAAAACAGTTTTCCCGATAAATAATTCGGAATATCTGTGCTGTTGTGTAAAAACTTTGCATTTACCTCTTTAATATTAAAGAATTTCAAAATCCATTGTTTCCCACTTTAAATTTGGCAGTAGATAATAAACTATAGGGTGTTATGTTGTTGTTGAAGTCATCAGCATGTGCTTTTTGCATGCTATTTACACTGCGAGCAACTCAGATTGAATAAATAATTAAAAACGAAATTGAACTTTTAGCGTCTACCCTTTCTGTACATGTTAATGAGAATTCTTAAATTTGATAGTTGCAAAAAAGTTGAATGTGAGTATATTTGATCTTACTGAATTCCCGAAAGATAATTCGAAGGAACTGTTTTATATACTACCAAAACATATCCATTTGAAACTGCGATCAAAACTTGGAATTTGTAACTAATGCTTTCTATTGAAAAACGGGTTGTGAAATCTCCAAAACGTTATCGAAACCATTTACTGCTTCGATCACATTAAAAACGAACTCAAAGAGCGATCTAAGAGAACATTTTCCGGAAGTATATACAGAATTACCGAAAAAAGTATGAGTCACATAAAAAACCTATAGACTATTTAGGGTATTTTAGTGGTAAGACAAAATAAGTGAAATCTAAAACTAAAACTATTTCATTCTTTCATTATACAACAGCTTTACAGTAGAAGTTAAATTCACTACGTTCGTTAGAAGTCAAGAGGATTGAGGCCACTGGACAATAAAGACTACAATGAATTTAACCAAATAAGAAGTACATAATAAATATCAATGCTTTTTTACCCGTTAAGGTACTTTAGTTAGACAAATTAATCACTAGTGATGTAGCATCCCCAATGTATTAATGCAAGAGATAGGGCAGAGCTAATTTAAAGATTACAGTTAATTTTTAACATAAATTTTAATAGAAGAACAAGATTTGTTATACTTAACTATTGTTGAGGTGAAGCTATGATAAAGTTAGTTAGCAAAGGATTAAAAAATTAATTATGATAATGGTAACTAACAAGGAATTAAAAGAAATGTCTGAATTCCATAATCATCGTTAAGGCTGTCATGATTCCAAAAAAAGCAATATCAAATAATAGTGAACGTATGAATAAAATGAAATCATGCCCGGATTTCGTATGCAATTTAAATAAAAATACTATAGAAAGAAAATACTTTAAGGAATATATCTGAACTCCACTTTTCAGTTTCGGAAAAATAAGACAGTATAATTTAATAGGCTTTTGTGATGTATGTAACAGTGGTTCATTTGATTCCACTGTAAAAAATGTTTGCCATTATTGAGAATCAAAACTGGGGATCTTTCAAGTTACAATATTTCTTCCATCATTATATTCGAAAAATATTACCGCTCAGTAACAAATCAATAACATGAGAATCATTTAACTTAGTTAACTTAGTTTTAAAAAAAAAAAACGATTAATTAAGTAAAAATTTAGTAAACCGTTGAAGTTAACAGTTTTTTTTCCTGGCATTGAACTCAAATTAATAGATTCGACTCTATGACAAATAAGCAATTTTTGATAGAAATTAGAATAACGGAAGCAGAACTGTGTATAAAATATTGCTGATAATTTATTACAAAATGGTTGCACCACAAGGCACAAATTAATCAACATCTACATTTTACTTTCCGATTTCTGATTATCCAACAATGGCGTCTCCTCGTTATTCGATTGTACATTGGAGTTTGTTGATGCTGGTTTAGTGACCCGTATAATTATTGCATCATCATCTTCTTCATTATCATCTGGAATCTTCACTTCAGGCGCTGATCTGGAAATTCTTCCATATTTCTTTTTTTAAACATTTTTTCAATCCTCCAAAGATTCAGATGGATATTTCACTTTCTGCAATATATTTAAAGTACGTTTGGCAATATTTATCGGTAACAAAATAAAGTCTGCTGAGTCCTCAATACTTATATATTGCTGGCCTAATCTACAATACATGCTGCATCATTAATTTATAGTATTGTAAATTAATAACATCTAGTATAACAATAAAGTTTTATATAAGACTAATTTACTATGAACGTGTTTTAATAATTAAGTCAGGTAAGGGTAAGTAAAGGTAAGCTTTGCTTTTCGTCCCAATTCTAATAAACAATGATCCATGACTCACGATGTTGTTGTGGGCGAAGACAATTGATTCGTTCCCGTGATATGCTTCCACATTCCAGTTTTGTTTACTTCATTCGAGATATTCATATTGTGAATGTTATGTGAAGGCTCTTGAATTGCCGCCAAGGGAATCTTAATTATTTCTCCACTTGCTGTTGGAATATGCAAATGCGCTTCTGTCTTTACGGCATGTATTGTACCTTGATTCTCTTCCAGGTCTATGTCGAATTCTTCCTGAAACAACATTCATTTCAAACCTAATACAACAAAACGATCATTTAAAATTGTTCTATATCATGTCCGAACATTCCAAGTCATCAAAAAAAGCGCTGTCAAAAATTCATCAGAAATGAAGATTGATAAAGTAAATCAATGAACACACAAACCATTACACTTTTCTTCCTTTTCATATCCTCCTTTTTTCTCAAATGGAAATCAGGCATCTTATCGTCCAAATAACGCAAGTCTTTCTCCGCGAAAAATTTTTCCATGACCTTCCGAACAGCAACCATTACCACCAACTGAAAAATGCGATAATATACCAACTGAAAAATGCGCCATTATATGAATCCAAATATTCATAAGATACTGGTCTGCGTCTTTTTGATCACAGTTTTCATTTTCGTAAAAATACTTTTCTAAAAAACTTACGAAAAGTATTTATAAAAAGATCTCATACTGTTACATATTGTATTTGCCTTTATGTTAAAGAGCGCAGAAGTTACAGACATATTGATATTGTTTATAACATCGATATTAACGCTTTAATAGTTAACAGAGTTGAAGGAAATGTTGTGATAGAAAAAAATTGCGCTGAATAAATTTAAAAGAAAGATACCATAATTGGGAAAGCAATAGAGGTTCGTTTGATAGATTTGACAGTCCATAAAACTACAAGACAGGCTACCTGGCAGAATGTGAATTTATGAATCACCGATATTGGCACATGTCGAATGTAAATCGTATCTGGCTGGTATCTGAAATTAATGATTTATTTTTCAATACATAGTTCAAAATTAATTACCCAATATCAGGATACCTTTAAGGGGTTTAAACATTTGAAATTAAATAAATATGGTTAAAACTTCAATCATAGTTTAAATGGCTCTTGAATTTAAAAAAAGACTATCTATTGCGATATTGTAAGATCATCAGAAAGATATATCATCAGAAAGCATAATTCTTATGATATTATTATTCACAAATTATTAAAAATTTTGGCTTATTATCTAAGCAGAGGGAAAGAAAATGCAATTAATATTAGGCTGTATTAAAATTGCGTTTAATTTAAAAGAATATTGAGGAAAAAAATGTCAAAAATGAATTTGAAAAAAAATCTCAAAAAATTTTAAAATACAAACTTCATTGGCATTAGTAAGAGAAGAATTCTATCGAAGAGTTGTATACCACCAAGCGCAGCTATACCCATGTATAAGAATACACCGTATAATACGGGCATTGGTATATGGCTAAGAATACCGGTCATTAGTACCGAACAGCCAATAAATAAGAAAGTAACAATGCCAGTCACTCGCTGTTCCCTAAAATTTCTGATATTTTTTAATAATAAAAAGAAAACAACATGAAGTACCGCTGAACAGATAAACATAAAATATAAATCATTCGAATTTCTTGAAATTGTCAAATTGAAAAGCAGGAGATCACTGGTGTTAGTCAATTATTCAGTGAAATTTCTCTTTTGATGATTTCATAGCTATTCCTAAAAGAGGTTTCAGCGGTACCAGCCGTTAAACTATTTGCTTTAATTGTTTCCAAAAGCATCTTGTTTAATTTCTCAAACTCCCTCTGAAACATTACATTCCACCGGACCTTAATAAAATGCCATTTCAATCAATCTTTGAATGCCATTCCAATATCATAAAAAAATTTTCAAGTTAGGATATATAAAAATTCGGGCAAACAGGAAGATTGCATTTATGCTAGTCAGGTGAATTGTCATTCAATTTTTGCAGCTAATTAAAAATTCATATGCCTGGGAAATTTCATTTGTTGGATCTCCTAATTTTATCTTTTTAGGGAAATAAGAATAACTGAATATCAAAAGACTGCTGTTTTCAATAACCTACCGGACACCAATAAATTGAGCAACTTCACCCGGAGCTCGAGATTCCGATTCAAGCTTAAGTGAATTTACGTGGTTTATTGAAAGTACCGTGGCGGCCACATATATCGGTAATCCAAGTATACCAACCACAAGGATAAGAAATGCTAAAACACATAAATCCAAATGGTAACCATAACCCTGCAAATTCAGTAACGTCAATAAAAATAAATTTCAAAATGAAATGGACAAATATAAAACGAGCTTTTTAAAATTTACTTCTTTTCTTTAAATTTATGAACTTTTATGCCTACAAGTAGAGGAATAAACAAGCAACTTTATTGTTCTTCATTCATAAGAATATGCAGTTTTTCATAGTAACGTATGTTCTAATTATAGGCTCGTCACATAATAGATACAATTACATAAACCTGACGAAATAAACTTACAGTGCCCACTATTAAATCACTCCACTTAATATATTGGCATTTTAAATATTGAAATTAAAATATTCCATATCTATATTTCAATGTTAAATTGAGTAATCGTTAAGTTACAAAGAAAAATAAGAAATGAAGAAACTCTGAACCAAGTACTTTTTTTAACTTATTTTCTTTACGATTTACGATAACTGCCGTAATTTGCTGATCCATGAAAATGAGAATACATGCAAGTATCGCTGGTATGAAGGAGACTAATGCTGTCCAAAATGGATTACCATTAAATGGTGGTACATACCAACCACGCCCTTCCCATGTTGGCTAAAACCATAATAATAATTATTTGTTAAGGAATTGATATTTTAATCACACTAATAGTTAATAGAAATGAAAGAATAATCTTACTCCTAATGACCACAATTTTTAGAATGTATGTCAGAATTGCAAGAAAAACTGAAATTATGAAAATTTCCTATTCATTAAAATTTGTGTTCGTATTTTGGCACGTGAAAGTAATTAAATGTCTGCTTTGTGTTTTACTATAATTTTTTTAGTTAAAGATTTAAAATATTACTCGAAAAGTGGAAGGAACATTAAGTTTGGGGGTACTGATACCAACATACATGTCAACGGAAGTCATGATGATAATGGCAATCATTACTGCGAAGTCACTGAAAATCTGTCGAACTCGTGATGGAAAATAACAGGTATTTCTCATTCTCTGCAATATAATAAAATGAATTCAAATTCAACGCAAAGTTGGACTGAAACGCAATTTAATTCATCACTAAAAAAACTTAATTAAAGTAAAGATATATGTAAATCTGTGACAAACATTACAAAAATTAATTTGACAAATACTATAAAATTAATTTGATATAAACATTGCAAAAATTTTTCTTTCAAATGGATATTTCAGTGACCACTGGGAGTGATTTCCGAGAAAAGGAAGAGAGATCTATCGAATAATGAACATTACAATATTGGTGAAATCGATATTGATTGAAATAATGCTAATGTAGTTACATCAAAAACGTAGCTGAATGGCAAACTACTTGATCAAAATACTGCTTACTATAAGATGTTCATTCCTGAAAGATTATCAAAACAAAGCCTATTTTGATAATTCATGAAATTTGGTTTGGTTCCAAAGGTAATGCATGAAAGAAGAAATTTGTTTTCAAAATTTTTAATCTCAACTAAAAAGCAAAGTAGAATTTCAAAGTGAGCATTTAAATGTCCGAAAGTTGGATTTGTATAATTAAAATTGTCTATTTACGAGGTTTAGAGCATACTGATATGAGAGTGAGATCGCTAAACTTAAACATAATTCGAGAATC